GAAATTAAATACTTATTTCCACCTGCACGTGCCTTAAGGAAACACCGTGACTGCACAATTTCATTCTTTCTTATTCTTCACTACCTCACAAATGCTAACATGGAAAAGAATGCTCTCAGTCAGGAGCGTCAAGAACTTGCACTTGAAAAAGCAAGCTGAAATTCTGGAGTCATGACAAATCTCGAGGGCCTAGGGCTCCAAAGCAACACTCAAATATCTAGAGAACTGTGCATCCAAGTGGAAATAACATTTGTGCTGAGAGGTGCTAGAAAAGCACAAACCTCCATTGTTACACCAGCCTGAATTTATCCCTTATAGCAGCTACCGGATTTGAATCCCCTGAACAGCTGAGCCCCAAGTGAATATTTCTATTTTGCCAGCCACCGAAACCTTATGTTAATGGCACATACAGGGGGAAAAAACAAAGCACTTTCTACAGTATGTCTGAAGTGGATTTGACAAACATTATTCAGCATATGAAACAGAAATAGATTAGTAGGTTTCCTTAATTTAAAGAAAAGAAAGTATAAATAGTAACCTTTTTTTTTCTTTTTAAACTAATTAAAGCACTCATTGCTCAAATAATTTAATGGCTTTTCTTTCAGTCTTGAAAAATTCTCAGAATATTTCTTGCAAACAGAACTGAACACTCAATTCTTGTATAAATTGATTTTTATTGCCTACTGTTTCTGCTAAGGCAACTTCTGTTTGGAACAGTGAGCTCTACTCTGTCTGACAAAGCCGTGTGTTTAGATGGAGATTACCCTGCACACTTTGGCAAGGAAAACAACACTGCGCATAGAACAGTAGGCAATTGCATTGCAGTTCTCTATGATATTTCATGTCCTCTTTTATACCACTTTGGTAAATATCATGATGAAACTCTCAGAGAAACGCACACATTTTCAAAGCATTCGTTTCAGTTCATTTAACACACTATATACTAATAACCTTCTAGTATCGTACAGCGCACTAGGATCAGAGCCAAGCCCGTTATAAGAATACAGAACACTAGGAAAGCATTTACAACCTCAATCTCCAACTGATGTATTCACAGAATTTTTAGCAGAATCTAGACCAAAGCGGGTTTTAGAAATAAAATGCTGATCTGAAGGATTCCTCTCCCCCTTTTTTTTTTTAATATCTCATAAAGCAGTACTATTTCTGACACCATATTCATACTTTTTTAAAGAAGGAAGGAAAAGTCGGAAAGGTTAACATATGCATAAAAGCTAAAGGAGAACAAAAGAAGACAGCTAAGTCTGCTCATTCTTCCTCCCCCCCAGATACAAAACAACACATTTCTTGTCCTCCTCCCACAGTACAGTTTTCTTTGTCCTTGCTCTCTCCTCCCATGTATATCGCTCCCATAGTCATTACTGTGAGACTCAGAAACTGAAGCAAGACATTGTCAAATGCTGTAGATTTTCTTTTGCTTTTAGCCAAGCTCAGGTATACTTTGTTCTCTTGAAGCAAAGGACTTGAACACGATCTGTTTGCTGGCAACTTTCTGTCTTAGTTCTACGCAGTTATACTCCAGTGGAATTTGTATGCCTAAATGGTACTTAAGCACTGGCAATTTTCTTCACAAGAAATAACAAAGACTACCCATTTCAGCTGTGTTCAATTGGTTTAGGCTGCAATGGAAGCAAATCCTTCATCCCATCCAGCAATGAGCATTAAATGCTTAATTAATCAAGCTTAATTACAGCTATCAATCATTCAATTGCTTAATTGCAACTATCATTGCTTTCTACTTTCCATTGCACTTAGGAGGTTGGATATTGTTATGAATGACTTAAAGATGCTAAACCCTTTGCACACAAAACCTGCAAGTCTTTAAGGACAAGATATGCTATGGATAATGTGTATTTCAGGAGTTTAAAACCCTAGAGGTATTACTTCAGCTCTCCTCTTTGCTAAATGAAAACACTTGTTATTATTACTCTCCATTTACAAAGAAAAATCCTAACAATGCACTTTTTGGCTCTGTAGACAGTACCACAGCTGCAACTCATACCAATAAGAAAATGTAGGCATTAACATTTGGTAGCAACTCATCAGCGGCAGGTAGCATGTTAGAATAAATAATTAGCTCAGTACCTTAGCAATATTTTTGTGAGCTCATTCAGATACTTGTCACCAATTGCATCTGCTTCTTAAAACTTAATCAAACATCATTATAAAAAAAATCTTCTTCCGAAAAAGCTCTGCTTGGACTATAAATTCTCCAGAACAACCTACAGAAATAAATAATTTGAATTATTTGAAATAAATGGCATGCATCCACCTATTATACCTTCCAGCCTGACACTTCAGATGTATGATGAATTAAATGATTACGTGATGAATCACAATGATTACGTGATTAAATGGTTACATGATGATGCACAATGTACCACACTGTGATATTTCTCAAGAACTACAACAGCAACCAACAATCCAGACTCTCACCTGTCAAGCTTCAAATCCATACCACTTTAGCAAGGGCCAAACATTTGTCCCATGTCAATCAAAAAGTCTCCAAAGCAAAATGCATCGTCTGGCACCCGTTCAGCAGTGAAGCACTGACTGGAAGCACTGACGACAGTTCCAGTTGATCTACACGCACTACACCTCTCTTTTCATTTACAGTTGTTCCATATCACTTAAGCTTTTAGAAATCCATAGATTTCTAGTGTAACAGGAGAGTAATAATAAGAAGGGGGTTATACTACAGTTTTGCTTCTTCCCTTTTTTAAACAAATTACATACGGAAAAAAAAAATAAAATTAAAAATTCTACTGAACAGTAATTTGTCCTTACTAATGACCACTAACACCATCTAGACTTAACTTAATTTGGCCATGCCTGCACATCACTGTGCAAGGCAAGAATCCTTGCTTTTTAGAACCATTGGATTTAATGGGCCTGTTTTTCTTCTGGCAGAATAGAATTCAAGGTCCATAACAATTTTACTTATTTTTCTCAGCCATCTAGTGTATAAATAATCTGAGTTAGTTAAACATAAAAACGTTCTCAACCTTATTTAGAGAAGTATGTGCAAAATAAAAGTTCTATCAGAGAAAGTTCAGCACTTAGGTTTGCAAAGTATCTCCTGTAAAAGTCAGTAGCAACCAGCAACCTCATACAAGCCTCTTGTGGTGTTACACACAAACGCAAAATTAGTAAGTACAGAAAAATTTTCAAAACCAGCAGCCCAAGAAGTATGTAATTTCCTTTGTCTTCCAGCAGCAGCAAATCTAGTAGCAGGATTCAAAAGCAGACATCTTCTTGGAACACACTAGACTTGTTCATTTGCATCTAACCTGCTGCCTAGGGAAAGAGGGACTGCTGATACAGTGAAGGAGAACACACCTTGGAAACAAGATTAAAACAAAGAGCTGCAGCAATCTGCTCAAAACCATCTCTTTAAACTTACCATTGCAATACAATGTATTTTTTAATATAGCAGCATGGTGAATGGTAATATATTTAAACAAAAGATTAGACAGCATAAACATGGTATCCATGTGTTTTTAACAAGGCCTCTGGGAAGTCACAATTCTTCTTTTTATTATTGTATATCCATTTATCTGTAACCAAAGCCTCGACTACTAGCATATGGCCAATTACAATGAGAAATATTAAATCAGTGGGATAAATTAAAAAAGAAACAAAGAGATACTAAAAAAGCTGAATGATTTCAGCATCTTCTTTCCCAGGTTGTTAAGTACAGAACATTTTTTATAGATTTACTGCCTTAATTTTGGATCCTTTTTTCATCACTTAGTCGTGTGGTAAGTACACAACAAGTTTTTTTTGTTTTAAAAAGTACTGCTTCCCACCAGCTGGATTTGATTATGTCATTACAGTGAAGGGTATCTTGTGTGTGCTGTTCCAGCTGGCTCACTACATCATCAGGATCAAGTACAAGGATCAATCTGAGCACAGGACACATGTAGACTTAGTGGAATGAGTCCAGTGAAGGGTCACAAAGATAATTAAAGGACTGGAGCAGCTCACACACAAGGAGAGGCCAAGACACCTGGGACTGCTCTATGTGGAGAAGAGAAGGCTCAGGGGAGATCTTACCAATGTGAATGACTGGAGACAACTGAGCCAGGCTCTTTGCAGGGGGGCCCCATGACAGGTCAAGAGGCAGTAGGTACAAACTGAAACAAAAGAAATCCCATTTGAAATTAAGAAAACTTTAAAAACAAAACAAAACAAAACAAAAAACACCTGTGAGGGTGGTGGAACACTGGAACAGGTTGCCCAGGGATGCCTATTTCAATCCTTGGAGATATTCAAAACCTGACTGAACACAGCCCTGGGCAATCTGTTGTAGCCTGTTTGGTGCAGGGGGCTGAAGTAGATTATCTGTCTTCCAACCTCAACTGTTCAGTGAAAAACTTTAAACTTCTTTATAGATAGGTGTTACATTACATTCTCAATCAATGCTCACATAAGTCTATTTATATTAGAAAATAGGTCAGGAAACAGCACTGACTTTCTGTATTTGTTCCTTATTGGAACTTGCATCTGCGGAGAACCAAAATTAAGTCTTTTTTTTCTGCTTCTTTTAAGAGCAATTATTTGATTTTATGTTATGAATAATCCCTTGATGTTTTCCCTCTGGTCCCGTTTCCTTGTACAAGTTTGTGGCTAGCTACTGGTACAGATGAGACAGGGTGTGGTGTCAGGCACTAAAGATCTGCACTTTGCATTCGTCAACCCATCACTAAAGGGGTTAATCCCACAGTTTATCTAACTTCTTTAATATTCATCTCAGGACAGGCAGCCACGCAGCAGGTCTGCCCTTCACACAAGGCGTGGGACATGAGAATCCCGCCTGTCTGGGGCCAGAAACAGGTGCCACGCGAAAACATGAACCTTTCCTCCCTACACAGACCTGAAAGCCCTGACGGCCTTACCACGCTTCAGGGTCACCTCACGGAGGCTGATGTACCGCTTCTGGACGCGGATGAGGAAACAAGTACTGCATTTGCTCCTCTTACTATTTTTACTTTTAATTTTTACTTTAAACATAAAGAACGTGTGGTAGAAACTCGAGTAATTAATTATCAAGGAAACTTGTGGGTCAATAACCCAAGCTCTGTTCTTAACGAGCCAGGCGCCCAGCACGCACTTACAGAAACCAGCCTCAGCCCCTGCGGCGCCCAGAGGGGGAGAGGAGCGCCGCGTCTCCCGGTAACCGTGACCGAACGCCGGCCGCTACCAGGCTCGCTCTGCCGGGAGGCAGGGAGGGAAGGCAGAACGCCGCCCCGCTCCGCCCCGCCGACACCGGCGGCCTCCCCGTAGGCCCGCCCGGGAGCGGGGCTCCTGCCGGCCTCTCCACAGCGCGGAGCGGGGCCGCTTAACGGTCGCCCAACGGTCGCGGCAGCGCGTGCCCGCCCCTCGCCTCAGGCGGCGGCGCCGAGAGGGCCGCGGCTTCTGGCGGTGCTGCCCGACCCGCCCGGGGGCGCGGGGCTGCCTCGGTGGGCAGCGTTAAAGCCAAACAGAGTTAGCGTGGGCTTCGCCCCGTGGCAGAAAGGACAGTTGTTGATTTGCAATTGATTATTATATATTTTTTTTCATGTTTTGTAGCGTGGAGGTGTTGTCCGTAGGCTGCACGAACTTGGCTCGCAGTCATTCTCCACAGGGAATGTGTAATTCTCCACAGAAATTCTCCACGCTTGCCCCCTCACAGCGCGGTGGTTTCTCAGCGCTCGCACCGATTGAAAGCGCCGTAAGGAGACACGGGTGGCTGCAGCCGTGGGTAGGGAGCGTGGAACAGCTGCCCAGCGCCTCCCGGACAGAACTGCAGGGGTACAGCACAAGGCTTACTCCTGGCCTTTGGTCCACGCAGAAAACAGCAGTTGTTGCCTTCGAACAAAAACATTACCTCTGCATTTAATAACAAATAAAGTAGATAAATCGGCTTTGCTTTTAGCTCTGGACTTTGCTGTGTCAATCCTGTGCAAGCCTTGGGAGCGGTCCGGTCCCTGTGCTCCCTGTGCCTCAGGAAGCACACACGGCTCTCCTCTATCCACAGTTACAGACGCTGCTTTGGAAATACCTTGTTAAGATGTAAATTACAAACTCAATTAAAGCGAATTTAATCCTCCAGCAAAAATGCTAACAGCACTGACTAAACTGCATTACCAACTTCACCGTACTTTTAAGTGATAAACTGTATTGTTTAAGTGAAGGCCGAGCAGAGGGAAAAGTCCTGGTGTGCCCTCAGATTGTACTGCTCTGTGATGTGTGATTGCTGCACTTAAAACTATGAAACGCTCTGAAGTATTAAAAGGTGAAAATTATTTTATTTAGCCAGAAGCATCCAGTTCCAAGACATAGCATGTATTGCTGTAGCATATACTTATCCTAACATTGTAACTCATTAATAACATCTATTGATGAATGAGCTTGGACATGGAGCTTTCTAAAACAAACTACATCTTTCTCTGGCATGCTGAGAGCATACAGTTCTTAATTTATTACTAAGGACTACATCCCATGTGCCTACCAAATTTGACCTTTTCTATTCATTAGTAATTTGGAATTCAGGAAAAAAATCCAAACTCAAATAACTCGTAATTTCTACTTTTCTTCAAATATACAGATTTTCTCACAACAGCAAAGAAGAAAGATGAAACAACTGATGATCTCCAAAAAGGTTGAGGTATTTTGTTTTTCCTCCCTTAGAATTTCACTAATTTATAGTGGAATTATAATAAAATCTGTGATGAGCTGTCTACACTACCAGTCTGGTTATGCCAAATAGGGAGGAAAAAACTATGATCTTTGAGCAGCTACCAACAGAAATTCTACCTACGCATTCAACCGCACATTCCCTCAGCACCCAGGACACTAGTTTTACAGTGTATAACATCGTCTTATGTATGGTATGAAAACACCTAAGCTGCATCCACGCTTGGATAATTTTGCAGTCACATTGACAATTTTTTACTGGTAAACCACTATGAGTCTAGACATGGAAGTGACAGAGCCTTATGCTACAAACACACAATACGGTTGAGAATACACTGGGAGGAAACCTGCAAGACATTGCATAGGAGCTCCCAAAACACCAAGGCAAAACACCAAAGAAGGCAATGGCCTTCTTTCCCATTTCTAATATACATGATTGCCATTAGGGACAGTCTATCAGGATGCTGCAATCCCTTTTGCAAAGCTCTAATGAAGTTCTGGTTATGAACCTTTCTGCAGCATGATTGTAATTCTCAGTACATGAGTGAGGATTCCTTTAGTGCATTATACCTTTGTTGATACTTGTGCTTAATTCTCCAGAAACAATGACCGTGGAAGAAATCAAACAAATCAACCAAATAATAAATAAACCATGTCACATAAATTCATCTTGAATTACTTTATTTTTCCAAATAATAAAAAATAAATTAGTCATAAACAAAAATAGTTAACATTTTTTCATCAAAGAGAAAATGCATACAATATGAAAAGGATGCTGTACAGTTCTGGTTCAGGTGCATTGCTATGGATACATATTCCTGAACGAGTCAGAAAGCAATTTGCTTCTACTCCTCCTTTAATTCACTCAAGGAACTGGCTAATCAGAAAGTTTAGAAAATTATATTACGGATTTACAGTATGACATATATACAAAAATATATATGTAATACTTGTGCTATAAAATTCCATAAAAGCTGGGTTAGTATAATGAAAGAGCTGGACAAAATGTGAATGGTATATGTAAATAAATACATATTAGGTCCCTTTTAATAAAAATCTGCCTATTCTAAATATTTGAATTATTTTGGTGCAGTGGCTTGTTCCATACACACAGCTCAGAATACATATTTCCCATAAACATCTTGTATTTACAAATAACAACAAAATAAGTTATAATAAAGTATATCCTTCTGCCAAAATCAATTATTAGGGTCATGTAGACATTTTTTTATATATAAAAGTTTTTTTTTTTCTTTTTTTTTTCTGTCACTTTTTGTCAGGTTTAAATATCCTTAGAGTTAAGGCTCCAGTCCCTCCTGATCCTCCAAGTGGAGCCCAAGCAACTTCAATGTGGGGTTCACAAGCTTGTATGCACCCACCCTGCCAAGGCCATTGCAAGACTAGGTCTCAGAGACCCAAACACAACATAGGCGAAATAGTTCCGGGCAAGCAGCAATGACGGACTGTCACTGTGAGGTCACTGATTTCTCAAAATTAAGCTCCCCTCCTCTCCAAATATAGTGGTAGTTTGTTTTGTAATCCATTAAAGTAAATGGCATTAAAGAAGCTTAGGAACTTGCATTTGTAACTTTTTGTTGCTAAAAGCTGATAAGTAAAGAGCCAAGTTCAGGTCTGGTGTGAGTTCTCTTAAATGAAATTTTCTTCCTTCACTAGGTCTGAATTTTACCCACCCTATTAAGATTTTATAATGCTGAGAGGTTTCCTTTAAATTATACTAAAAACAATTACTGGATGATTTTTCCTTTGAGATATTAGGAGGTACAATTTTAATACAATTTCTAAACAATAGCTAATATAGCTCCCACAAACATATTCTGTAACTGATGCTAAGAACAAAGGAAGTTTACTTTCAGTGTTCAAAATCTCATGTTTTGTGTTCCAAATACAGACATGCACATAAATAATCTGCCTAATACACCAAATGGCTCTAAGAAAGAGATTAGTCAGACACTAAGTGTAGATCTCAAGAAAACCAGGTAGACAAATTTTTACTTTTTGAGTGTAAAGTTTTTTGCTTTGTTTGTTTTGTTTTTAAATATATGTGAGATTTGAGACTAAAGGGCCAATACATACTTCAATAGTTGTGTAATCATAGGTTCATTGAACAGGAACTCTTTCAGTAGTTATTTTAATATCATGCATTTAAAATTAGCCAAGAAGAACACACAAAAATCACTGAACTGGCAGGAATATAGCTCCCTTCATAGCTGGGCTTATTTCTAACAGATTCTTAACCAAACCACTGAGGATTTTCAGTAATGCAGGCAAAATTTAAAATTGGCATCCAAAGCACAAAGGGATGGAGGTGAGATAGGAGGAGAAGAACACTTTGTCAGCGTAAGAGAGTGACTGCAGGATGGAGATGAACTGGAAAGAAAAGCCACCGAGAGCACATTTTACTCTCAATTTACATACGGAGGTTCTACTGGCCATTAGCTGCTTTCACCTTCCTCCCTCAGTGGTGACCACTGGCATGTTCTAGGACTGAGACATAGGCAAATGCCACCTCTGATTTACAGTAAAATCATGAAATTAAAATCAGGGCCTCTGTAGACATCATCCTAAATTGGTATATTGCTCTATTAAAACAAATGCTATAGTCACAATTTCAAAAGTGCACTTTGTGTGACAGTGAAATACTAGCATAGCACTTACTTTGTGTAGGTAATATTAGTTCTTCTACATCAAAGTGCTGAAAGAAGGGTTCATTAGTTCATATTTCAGGAACAAGTATTTTGATTATGCTGAAACATGAGAAAAGATGATAAATGATTAAGTTCAGCAAGACTTTAGTAGTTTCCATATCACCAGATGTTCAGTTAGGTGATGCAATCTTTTTCTAACTGATACATCTAAAACCTGTCTTTTTACTAAAAAGAAATATATAGTTTCTATAAACATAATTCACTGCATTAAATTCACAAGGCTGTACAGCTTAGGAGTAATACAGGGTTATAGCACTACATGTATGCATAGATTCTTTCTTATTTAGCTCCCATGAATTGCTTACTTAAGTGGCAGCTTAATGGAGCCTACATGATGATAATCCTTGTAAAATAACCCAATCGCCATATATTCCAGAGCATAACAACAGATTTTATGGAAGACCAGGATCACCTGTCTCCTTGCTAACTTGCTGTCTCACAGCCAAGAGTGTGTGCAAGCAGATTGTCTATGAATTGTTTGCAAACCTGATTACTTCTCTGTATTTCATTCTCCTCGTGGTTTTCAGTACAAGTATTTCACTGTAGCTCACAGGACACACTTCCTTGGCACAAAAGAGATAACAGCAAAAATTATGCACTCTATGTGAAGATTTGCTGCAATGAGACTTTGAGATGAAAATCAGTATTTACAAATACCGGATTCCAGAGTTGTTTATGCTGTACTTTCTCTGTATCAGTCTTTGGTCAAGAATCTTAATGAATATAAAATATGACCACAAATTTTTAAATTACCTTCATGAATAAATTTTCATAATCCAAGGAAATAGGACTGCAAAAGCTTTGTGAACTTAAATCGAAGGTTTTCTAATTAGCATGTCTGTTTCTAAAGGACTTACATCAATTAATTACAGTGAAAAAGCCCAAAAAAACAGTATACAGAAACAGCCAATAACATTAATGGTTTAAAATCACAAATACTTCGAAGTTTAGGGGAAACACTTGTTAATTTCATTTAGCCAAACATTACAGTTCATTGTGGCTGAAATACATTCTTCGTAAGTGACTGAATCAAAAAATCTAAGGTTTGTCTCAGTCCAAGGCAGCTTTTAGACTGGAGGTGTTCTACCTTTCTGTGCCTGTAGCTTCCAGTACATGAACTGGTGTGACTACTAAGTAGCATGCCCAGAAACCTTTGCCTCCCAGTGGCCCAGTCTCTCTTCCATGTTGTCTCCACCCAAGCAGTAAGAACAAAATAAAAACAGATGAACATTTACAGATGGATCATCTGGGATGAGCTCTAGTACAAATCCAGAATGAGGTTCAAACATGCCTCTAATCATTAGCAGGACACATTAATCACTCTACTACTGCATCACTGGGAGTGGCTTAACATACATTATTAAAGCTGTTTTTCAATTCAGGCAGCAGGCACCTTAGAAATAGATGCACAGTTGGATATCATGAATTTAAAAGCAATATGCTGTAATAAACAGTTGAATGAGCAGAGGTGTTGCTTTCTTCCCTCAGCCTTATTTACACATTTGAAAGACCTCACAGGTAAAAGCTAGAGAATGTGCAGATAATGCAAAAGCTTTCTTTTGCCTTGTACAACGTGATCTATTTACCTTCAGCACATCCTAAGGCTGAGTCTAGTAATTGCAGAAATGAAAAATCACCACCTAACTTTAGGTCTAAGAAAAGCTATTCTTGAGTAGCATAAAGGGAGTGGTATTAAAAGATCTGATGGATGAAACATGGAATGAAGCAAAAATGACAAGTATGTTGTAGTAAGTGATCAAAACCTGAAGAACATCAACTGGTAAGATCTCCTTATAAATACTTGGCTACTCCACTCACAAAGACTACTTACACCAGGAATAACAGACTACTATAAAGCAGAGAAGCCTACATCTGTTGGTGGTTGCTTCAGAAACTAGTGATGTCTCCAGACAAGGTCTGGACACAATACTTTTGTATGGTAGCTGTTAAAAAATAGGGCAGAGACAAGACATCAGGCAAGATATCAATTCACTGAAAAACTGCCCTACAGGAAAGAGACCTTGCCAGTGGAAACAATCACTCTGTGTATTTCTTTTTAAGTATGAGCAAAGTCTCCTCAACTTCCTGGTAAATCTCACTGACAGCTGCAGTTATTAAAGGCTTAATTGGTTAGGCACTAGTGGCACTCTGGTAGGTAATGTATTTTAAAAAACATACAGTAGAATAGTATAATTTCAAGAGTTTATGAATTAAATATGAAGGCACATTTTGGCAGTCAAGTGTGCATATATTTGCCATCTGAGGACGGGAAGTTAGCTAAAAGTATAATTGAAAAAGTTTAACCATTACTATAATTTATTATGAATGGATTGAAGTAATTAAAAATATACATTAGAGTGCTAAGAAACTGAACATGAATGAGTCTTCAAGGGCCTAGTTTCTCTGTAAAATAGTTCTTGTCACGTGCATGTTTCATTGATTTGGTCTATTACTTTAAGGCAGTCCAAAATATCATGTAAGAGTTAAGAACTCAGAAAATAACGCAGCAGTTGCATCCACATTGGTAAAATATCTCCAGTAATTGCCTATGACTGATTTTTTTTTTTTTTTAACAATAATTTCACAACAGTAAGGCTGGTATATTTTTTAAATAATTATCCGATGAGCAGGTGCAAAGAATGTTATCATTAAAAATTAATGCTTTAAAAAGATCATGGTTTTACAACAAACATTTTTTAAAAAGACATAACTGCACAGTAATTGTAACTGAAATGGTCTGGTGCCTTGATGTACACAGCAATATAAAAACCATCTCTTTAAGAAGCTAAAACCTGCTGTAGGCAAAACAGTAACACTGTTCAAGCTCCATCTGAAGATTGACATTGCTGCCTTGAGAAGAGTATTTGTTATCTGCGTCCCAGAAACCCTGATTGTCTGTTTGCCACACGCGTACAGGATGCACAACAGGCTGTTTTGTAATAGGTGTAGACACAAAGCCGGGCCTGAACCACCACATTGCAATTGTAGTATTTATCTTTGCAGTTCTCATCTGTGGAGAAAAAGGAAGAGAAAAGAAACTGAAGAAAATAACAGTGGAATAACAGGCAACCAATCCCCTCTCCTTTACTGTGTAAAATCCCTTTAACCTCTATTCAAACATTCATTGTCAGGTTAAAATAGGCTACCTATGCAAATTGATTGAAGATTTTCCACATTCAATCAAGACACACAAAAACACAGATTAAATGTACCTATCCTCATATATACTGTTCATTTTTATTTTTTTTTCTTCTGAAAAATTTGGCTTAAATAAAGATGATGGGGAAATTTCTAGTATTTTCCACCCAGGTACCTCTATCCACTTCATTTTTAGATTCCCAGATACTAAACTGTTGCAGTAGTGTACAGATGGCACCAGAACCTGCACATGTTAATTTTCAACTGCTAAATTGAAATAATCCACCGCTGAGTAAAACATCAGCTTCGTTACAAATGTTGTGATTGGTTGAAATTACCCAGATTAAAACCAAACCAACCAAAACCAAAAAACGGTGTTCTTAACACTCCCCATTGTTTTCTAAGCTGCTACAATATGGCCTGTTCACATTTTGAAGTTTTCCTTTACAACCAACAGGGTTAGAAACACTTTTTAAGTGACAGATAATATTTTCATATGATCAGGTGACCACTGTCCACCACACAGGTGTTAAGACAAAGACAAAATATCAAAGTGCTAGGATCAGATGTAAAAATGAGCAGTTCTGTACAAGCCTGTTTTAAATAGAGAAGGAACAACAACAGTAGCACAATATAAATATTTTTAATGCCACAGGTATACCAGCTTTTAAGATAATTATCTTAAATTATGTTAAAAATAATTCTCATTATTGTAGTAATTGTAATTATTGCAGAATATGATTTCAAACTGTTTCTAAATACTCGCATCATCTTCCTTTCCCTAGCATTCTCATTACTGTTAAAATTAAATCTGGAGGAGAAGAATGATTTATGTTCTTATATTAAATATCCATAATGTTATTCTTTCTTATAGGAGCTGTTACCAAACACAGTATATGATGCATGATCTTTTTGTTGTTGTTTTTCAAACACTCTGCTGAGAGAAACATTTCAGAATGCAAGGAGGCTGCTTAAAAACAGCTCTATTTATCGTTTTCACAGAAGCGGATTTCTCACATTCTCAGCATCTTCAAAAGTAAGCCACTTTCTTCAGTGCTTCAAGGAAAAGATTTTAAATCAGAAGTGAAAAGCTACTTTCACATCACAGAAAAGAGCCATAGTTTGTATAAAAACAAACCTCTGGACTTTAGAAAGAAAATAAACTCTAAAACCTGTGCATGATTATTAGGGATTTTATCCACTAGATGGAGTTCCATAGTTAAAACACAAAGTTTCTCTACCATACCTATTTCAGGGATACAGTCTTGTGTGTTACATGGTTCTTTTTCTTCAGGTTTAAGCTGTGGATCACACTGAGTACTGGTTGTCATGTCATCTGACAGACATCGTACCTCTCGAACTCTAAATCCTCCTTCACAGGATTTGGAACACTGAAATACAAAAGCCGAAGTTCATGAAGATTGCATGCAATGTGCAAATATAGAGATAAAAACAGGGACCTGAAACCCAGATACAGACATAATCACTGCAGCCTTTTATCAACTTCACCACTGCTGTAGTTTTTTGTTTTGTAACTACTCCTTAACATACAGGTGAAATTATCTTTAAAGGTTCAAAAACGTTCTTGTCTATAGGGGGAGCAACTGGACAAAGAAACATGCTGGACTACCACTGAAAGCATGCAAGAATCTTTCCCTTTCTGAACTTGTCAGCTTCTTGCTTTTCTAATTTGTCTTGTTGGTTAGTCTTGTTAGTCTAATTAGTCTTGTTTTCCTCTGCTTATTTATATATATCTCCCAAATCTACTCTTTCCACAGGGTTCACATATTTCTTATTTAAGAACTTCCTATAGTGAACTTTGACTAGACTACTTGAGTGCACCGTTTTCCACTGCCATTTTTACCTCCATTTATATATAATCAGGAATCATTTTAATTGCCTTTTGTCTAGTGCTCAATTATTTTCCAATTCTTTCAGCACAGCGATTTTAATAAGCATTATAGGTTTCCTTTAATTTCTGAAGAAAATATTTCTGTGTTACTTCAAAATCTGTTCTGAAGCCAAAGACTTTTGTATTTGCTTGTCCTGGTGTTTTCAAAGTCAATTATTACACAGATTAACATTGAAGCAAATCCCCCATTGACTTTAAAAATTTTGCCTGAGTGAGGTCTTTCAGTTTTGGCTCAGTGTCCAGTTTGACCTAAATGCTCACAAGCTTCATTAACCATGGATCATTTATAATTATTGAAACTTTAATAGCCCCAAAGTAATCAGAATGTTTTCAGACTTTTTCTTTGGCATATGTTTTTCCCCTAACATTATAAAAACAACTTATCACTAACATAAAAACAGATATTGTAGCAAACTAAAATATTCCCTATAATACAGTCTTAAATTGTTCTTTGATTTTGGAGTACAACACTTCCGCAGTTTAGAAGACACAGACCTACAAAAACAGTAATAGAACACTTAGTGTTTTTTGTTTTTTTTTTTTTAATATGATTACTCATTACATGCCTGCATAGAATATTGTAATTATCCGATATCTAACAATAAAACCTTCCATTCAGATCTGTAGAGATCTTAAGCACTTTAAATGGAACCAAGACAGAATTTAGAAGTTACATACAACATACTACATACAAAACCCAGCATTTTGCATTAGCCAATCATTAAATCTCCATGACTGAAGGGACTGTGCCATTTATTCTGGATCATATAAGAAGTCTGCTGAAGTTATGAGATCCTATCAGATTCTGTTCTATTCTATCAGATTCTGATTTTTAGCAGCTTCTTTCTTCCATGCATGAAAAAGAGAGCATATATATTTTCACTTTCAGAAAGAATCTATCTGCTGTATCCTGTGGATGCACGCCTGGATCTTTTGTGGTTACACACTCGCAGGTTCACATTTGAAAATGCGTTTCCTAATGAAAGTCATTTGAACTAAACTAACAGTAAAGAATTCAAAGAATTTCCAGCAACATCAAAGGAGATACTTCAATCTACATGGTTTTATCATGAGCATAATTTGGATCTTTGTTTTTCAAATAACTATCTATACACACCTGCAAAATAGGGAAGAAAAATCCATTTTTTCTTCATCTGATTTGTTTTTGTTAAAAACATTCTACTTTCTTTTCTACTTTCTAGTGCTGCCATTGGGATAGTCAAATAACCAAGCATGGAAAAAAATAAAATTTCCATTTTTTGTGTCACTTGAATGAAGAATTTCCCAAAGGTTCCTGACTAAGGAAACTCAAGATGAAGCATAAACTCCACTGGCTGCTGAAGAGTACGCTTTCTTTTCAGTATCATTCCTGTGAAAGATTAAGCCTTATTTCATGATCAACAGTTTTATCCAAATGGTGTTCCCTTTCAATATACATCGAAAAGGATGCATCAAACAAAACCAGATTTAGAAAAGCATGGTAGACTTACTGTGCTCCATTCTGTATGAAACCACTTAGATCCACACGGCTTGAGGTAGCAGGATTGCTGGCTGGGAGGTCTTTCCAAATATGAACATTCATAGGGGTTCAAAACATCGAAATGGCCTTCAGTTTTCCTAACACAAATTACTTCCCTCTGTTGAGTTCCACTGCCACATTCAGTAGAGCACTGTATCAGAGCAGAAAAAAAACGGTGGAATTTGTTATTCTACTTAGGTTCTTCAACTTGGTTCTGAACTAACTTATTTGTCCATGTTATTTGTTCCTGAAATAAAAGAACATTCACGCATACAAATGCATATACTTGCACTTTAAATTAATATTCATCACCTAAATTTATAAAGCATTGTTTATTTGCTATTTTTGGATACATATTAAGACACCTTCAAACAAAATTTATTTCCTTCTTTTAATAAGCTCTTTCCTCAGTAACGTTAACGATATCTTTCCTTCTGTCTCTGGCATATGTATGACTTAAGGAGAAGGGCAAAGGGTAAAACATTTCTTTGGTACCTGCCATAGGGTTTTTATCCCTCAGACCCAGAATAGAAGCCTAGATAATGCTTGGGTTGCTATTATATTTATGTAGTGCTACCATAGTACCCAGAAGTGCCAGTTAGAAACTAGTACAAGAAAATGCTACAGGATATAGTAATGACTTAATTCATCAAGTGAATAATGACTATATGTTTTGGGTATTATACATTTAATTACAAATCTTAAAAATGCTTACAGTGGTTAAAACTGTACTTCTATTCATTTTTATTCCAAATGGTACGGAAGACTAAAAATGCTTTCCTAATTATTGTTAAAAATAAGAGATATGACTATAATTGTGCTTTTTTTCTAATAAAAGGAGAAGCGTAACTTACTTTCTCCATATACAGTGTTACTGCTTCTGACCGAAGCAGGATTGCATGCACTGAACCTTTGAGGTTATAAGGCTAGAGCACAGTTCTGCAGTTTTACAAATCCCCACATGGTGTGGTTTTTAGAAAATGCCTTGATCTGCCAGGGTGTTCTTTTTGTGTTTGCAAATATCGATGTGATGCTGTGTTGGTTCCAATTCCAAAAAGCAAATTTTACTCTCACAGACTCTTATTGCCCGTTTAAAGGTTAAATGCACACATAAGATTGTTGGTGGCACTTTTAAAACGTTTTTTTCAGAAGAGTATTCCGGTGATACGTTGATTTCTATGTTGCATAAAGGGCCATGATTTTCAAAGGCTTATTCTAACCTAAAACAATCAAGTGTTATTATTACTATTTTTAATACTTTGTGTGGAATTTATGATCCCTTTACCACATACCCATAAAAACTTTTGAGACGAATGAAAAACCTAGAGATGACTGCACCTAAATAAATTCTACAGTAAGTAATGTAACTCCATTTTCTTTAACACTGAACATCTCTGTCACTGCTCTCTTTTAGCGCTTCTTCCAACAGACACTATCTTAACATTTAGCCTCAGCTCTAATGGAGCACAATGCTAAATGTCATCCACCAATGCTCCCTGCTCTGGTCTACTGGCTGTCTGCTTTCATTATGGTATTTAAAGTCAGGATTTGTCTGGTAGAACAGAAGTTGTCAGGCACTTTTTTTCACATACTATACAGTGAACACTTTGTATAACTGGTATGCATCAAACTGAATGCAATTTCATACAAAGAAAGAAGGTGAATTAGGCTTAAAAGAACAGGAAATTGTAAAGGAAAGAAACTTTCTTATTGAGTACAGCATGGGGAGAGTTAGGACAACCTTATTGCACATTTCTCTCTATGGTAATAGGGTACAAAGTTCCTATTCACCTGCATGGAGCAGTGTAACTAACAAGGCCCAGACTTTACCAGTTATTAAAACTGCAGCAAAGTATGTTTTAAATCTGAAATTATTATTACTCTCATACAATACAAATAATTATCACTTACACTTGGAAGCATTTGCATGTAATCTCCATCTCAGCTGTACCAGTTTAATTTCCAACTCCTTACCAGCTGGAATCTGAAATGCAGTGAGTTAACAGCACAGCCAAGAGACTTTTCCCTAACAACCTGAAGAAATGCTGGTATCAGCAGTCCAAAAGGCTCTCTGGGCTACATTAGAGCCTACTTAAATTAGAGGGACGTAAACGACTGGGCACCAGCTGACAGCTTCTGAAATTCCTTTGCTCCTGACAGCAGAAATGTTTAGTAAGAATGAGAAAGAACATTGAGATGTGGATGAAGGAAATAATTTACTGCAAAGAAAGAGCACCAGAATACTGGCCACTAATTCTTTTCACCTGTCATGATAAACCAGCTCAGCAAAACAGAAGCCAACTTTTGATTTTAGCCACTGCTTTTGTCTTATTGTGCATCTTTTGGCTATTGCCTATACACATCCCACAGGTATGCATCACAAACGATCTAACTTAATAGGTGTAAATCTCTTACTTTTGCGTTCCTTTGAAATGCTAGGCAGCTTTCTGATGTCTCTCATTTTATTAATATACTGGGTCAGTAGATGAGAAACAAAAATTAAGGTATAGAGGAAAGAACCATCTTGAAACATTGAACATTAGCTCAGTAAAATACAGAGGAAAAAACAAACAAACAAACAAACAAAACACTTATCCAAACACTCCACAGAGATGCAGAAATACCTTATGGCACAGATCTTCCTCATGTGGAAAGGATTAAAATGCCAATATAGAAAACAAACACATGTTAGATGTAGAGCTTACCTGTGTCCAGCTCCCAGCAAACCACTCCACTTTACCAGCGCAGGGTCCATTGTTACAAGGAGTTGTTTCAGAGGGTCTGTTATTGCCGCAGCCTTCCAGAGGCAAACTGCTGACATGGTTGGTCATGCAAACCACTGAACGTGTACGGACCCCATCACCACATTCTGCAGAACACTGGGGAGCAGAAGACATAACAGGTGTTCACTAGTCCATCCATGGAAAATAGATGAATGCATGTAACATCAATTATTTTCACTTGTAATTCAATTGTAGCAAATAATCTTATGGTTTCATACCTCTAAATACAGTACAAATAGTACCTGTCCTTCATAATCACAAATGAGTGAACCTGAATGATTAGGAAAGAAAGAAATTTCTTATAGGTTTTTAATAGCTTGTTTAGTTTTCCTTCCTTCTCCCTATCTGTTAATTCTTTCAATTTTAATTTTATTCATCTTTTGCCATACCAGTTAATGCATCTGAGAGGTAATTTCAACAAAAAGCTTTTCAGGGAGCAGTTATGTTTCAGCCTACAAATTGTTCTGTGAGTTTCCCTTCTGACTGTTCAAGCTGTTAGCCAGGTGAATTCTTATGCTGGTTAAAAGGATGAGGTGAGGAAGATCTGAGGGCTACTGGCATTGAGAGCTGCTGATATTGGTAGCAAAATGACTGCATAGTGCATCCTGGAACTTTTCCATATAGGTTGCTGACAGAGTATGAGAGCACAATAAAATAGAAAACAGGTAGTTTACAAAGACTTGGGTAAAACTTCTACAATTAATTGTAACGGTCACTAATTGTTGCCCTCCCTGTTTCAACTGTAAGTTCTTTACTATGTTTTTTAGCAGCAAAGGTGGCCAGTAACTAATATTCATCTTTCTCAACTTTTCACTGCTAAATTATGAAAGCTTGTATTATTTAGTGATATGCTGAGTGTATGTCACATATTTGGAGATGGTATGCATATGACCCATAAATCATGCAGGATAAATTCCATTTATCATGACTCTTTGTGCCCTTATAGTTTGGTCATTCACCTCCTTCAGTGGGAAAGTCTCACATTCCACTGTTCTGGGCAGCATCAAACTGTTGACATTTAAAAAGCAAACATGCCTGGGAGATAAGCAATTCATGTGCTAGACTGTTTGTTGTTGTTGTTGTTGCTTCTTTCTTTCTTAATCTTCATTTTCTTTTCTTTGAAAACACATTTGTCATTTCATCTCTAGACCATGAAAATAAAGAAAAAACGTGCAGCTTGCTGAAAGATACGTATTACATAATTGAATTTAGCAATTACAAGCAATTATATTATACTACACATGTAAAGAAAACCACAAGTAAATATGCAGTGTATGGGAGAAAAGACACATTTGATTGACGTTTCCAATCTTATTTTTAACAAACCAAGTAATTAGTTAGGAAAAGCTAGGCATAGTTAGGCATTACTTCCACAATGAACAGAACATCCCTTGTGAATCAATGTAGCTCTGGGACATTTTTATATTTGGAATAAAAGCAAGAAAAAATTGAAGAGAACTGGAAATGAGACACAGAACTGCCCACTAGCTTAGGTTGGCTTCCACTGGCAATTGTACTAGAAAGGTTTCCCATCCAATAGTTCAGCTACAGAACAGCAGATGCCACTATCAATAAGAGGCCAAACCACTACAGTTGCTCACCATCTCCCAGAGACACCGGGCACTGAATGTACAATTGGCTGCAAACCAGGCTTTAATCACACACCAAGGAATACTGGTTGTGTGAAATATGTAGTCATGTCATATTTATTCCACAGATACAGTATTGGAAAATAGTTTTCCCTCTACCAAGTCAGTTTCTTTCACAAGATATTCAATAGAAGAACAAATTATTTGCTGAAATGGAATCCCTAGAAAGCCAAAAAGGTGATCAAACTTTTTGCATGTTTTACCTGTAAAACTTGTACATTTTTTTAACAAGATACAATTCTGGAAATAACTAGGAATTCAAAATTTAAAGAGTTGCTTATGTACTCCAATGGAGTAGTAAAAAACTGCACTTCCCCCATCTACAAGATCAAATAATTGAGTGTCTCTTAAATGATTCCTTTAAGTAGCACAATGAACCACATGTTTTTTGGTGGTGGTGCACAAGAAAATTTTCCACTTTCATATCAATGTGTGAAATAGACTCAGCTCCTCAGCAAACCACATTTGATGTCTGAGGAGGTCTTTTCAAAGTAAACTGACAGCATCTTGGAAATACCAAAATGATGTACATTGTGCTAAGTACTGAACATATTCCCCTTTATGTAAACTAAAACTAAACTAAACCGATTTCAAAATGTTCCACTCCTAGGTAAACTGTTTCACTGAGCCCCATAAATGGCTGCCTTTCAAACCCACTGTACTAAAATAAGTTTTCTGTCTGTTCATATTTTATCCCAGGGAAGTTTGTTCAATTACATTATGCATAGAGAAATATGCATATACTCTGCAAATACTTTTCTTATTTCTAAGTAATTTTCATTTGACAATCTAATTTGCTTCTCTGCTTTGCAAACAAACAGAGCTGAGAACAAGTTTAGTCTATAAATTAATCCAGAAAATCTCCAGTCTTATGTTTTAAATGAATATGCATGAACGAGGCTTACATATCAAATAACAAAGGAAATTCCAAATGGGAAGGTATAGGGCAGTCCCACCCTCTGCTGCAAGATTTTACTACAGATTAACTACCCTCAAAGGATTTACACAGCAAACCTAAATGTGAATGTTTCTGAGTGAGGTATTTGTTTTTTCTTTTTTTCTTCTTCTTCCTTCAAGTAAAAATCTGCTGTGTGAAAGCCATGATTTCCAAAGCTAAGGCAGGGAGTAGGGAGTGTTTGGATAATAAATCCTCTCCCTTCAGTTTCTGCAATTGACACACCCACTACTGCCAATTTTGTGCCATTGATTTGTTGCATTAACACACAGCGACTGCCATAACCTAACTGTATGACATGTTTCCTTACAGAACCTGAAAGGAACTTCCATGATCTGCAACTTCTCTTTTCTGGTCCTATTATTAAAGATATTTCGTTTCATTTTCTTGTTTTAATTGGCACAAATTCCCTCAAAAATGTTAGTCTGTGGAACACCCTCCCTAATTTTAAAGAGTTTGTCTTTTTTTCTCTTCTTGATGTCCGTTCCACACCAGTTGAGTTTTAGAAGCTTTCCATTCCCATTAAAAAAAAAAAAAAAAAGAATCTCGTGCTCTGACAGTTGTCAGAAAACAACTGTAACAGCAGCCCAGGAAAATAAGGCTAGTTCCTGCAAAACTGAGAAGCTGCATGTGGAAGCCTGAATTTTTGTCCCATCCACATGGAGTGGCAAAGCAAGTAAAACCCTTTAACTATGCCAGCTCCTTCTGACTGATGTACCAGCACACATCTTTGCCCTCAGCTGGGACTACAAGTACAGCTCATGGGAAAGTAGCATCAAGAATCCTACCAATGGGGTCCAGAGGTTTTTACACCCAGGTCTCAGCATCATTGCTAGTTTAATCAAATTTTTAAAAACCAGTCAAATTAGTTCTTGTAAAATGTTTCCTCATTTGTACAGGATATGTTTATCATGCTTTATTTATTTTATCACACTTTATTTATCTATTTATCTAAAACCCTATAGAGCACATCTGTGAAGGAAGTTAACAAGTTCTCCTTAGCTATCCAAGTTCAAAGTCCAGGAGGAGGTTACATATGTTACTGCAGAGAGAGGCTTAAAAATTTGATCCTGATGAGAAAGCTTCTGGAGCTGGTTTTTACTCCCACTTTGGAGCACTAGCAAAGCTAGTTCACCTGAGTGTATGGACAAAGCTAACTTCCCTTAGGAGATAAAAAAGAGAAGACATTAAATGTTTTCACATGTATTCAGTCACATTCAAAGAAGTGGGCTACAGGTGAAAAGCAAAGAGAAGGCTGGCAGTTTGGGGCTCTGTATGATGGCCCAGACTTGCCTGAATGAGGCTAGTTGGACAGCTAAGAGAAAATCTTGGTCACTGTACTACTAAAAGGCTGTGCCCTCCATACATTACATTTCCCAAAACAAGGAGAAGGCTTATGTGAGGCTTCTGATAGGTGAATAGAAATACAACGGTGGGCATAATAGAAATAATACATCAACATTTTTTAAAGCATTCAGCCTTGCAAATGGCAGTGTCTCCATACATGATCTGATTTAGTAAGAAAAAACAAAAAATTATTTTCCAGAATTTGATTTCTGGGAGACCTGAAACAGTAGGTCACACAAATATAGTGAAATATGTATTTTTAAGTAGCTTTTGTGAACACTGTGTATCTTTGTTCTTAATGTCACTGCTCTGTGATGAAATACTAGCCTGCCTTACTGTAATTCTAATCTCTGTGCATAACTTCCAGTATTAAGTTGCCTGCCTTTTCTTTAAAACCAAAGATATGACAGAAGCGTGCACTCGCCAGAACTCTCCTATCTGCCTTTAAACAAACCAGTTTGCTTTTGGCAGTTACATGTTGTTTAGAAAGTCTAAAGCAGATGAATTTTGGCAAAGAGAGATCAGCTGGGGAGAATAAAAAATAAATTATCTGTAGGTTTTGGCCATCCTATCCACGTCTTCTTCAAAACTCTCCTGGCTATATGTTCCATTGCGAATCATGAAGTTAGTTACAAATTTATGCATACAGAACACAAAACTTCTACTTCCATATGATTTCTACATGAAAACCATGTAAAGGGATATTTTAAGTTGTTTTAAATTTTAAACTGGGTAATCAAAAATAGCTAAAAATTGCACAAACTCCATGGTGGCCTCTCTGCTTTTATCTGTTCAGGATCCAGGAGATTTTACTTGAGCTATCCAGATTTAAATAAAGACCAGTGAAAGAGAAGCGTGAGGTACAATACACTTTTGTGGTTCTACACCTTTGACTGGTCAACAAGCTGACTGGTACCCGATAGGAAATGTTTTAGGAATGAGAGAAATAAAGCATTGATTTTTAGGAAGCATGCTGTAATTCTCTAATGAAAGCTACTATAGAAGCATTGCTGTTTCTCCTTTTAAAAATGACTAAAACCCAGAGCATGCATTTGATCAGTTTAGATTTTGTTCCCTGAGGAGGAACATTTTTTTCTTCCTTCCTTACATTCTATTTTGGCCTCAGAATCTCATTAATGTGTAAGAATTGTTTGTATTTTGGCTTCTATTCCAAATATGCTCTAAATCAAATGAGAAACAAATGAACAGAGTAGATGGCAATGAGGAATAAACAAAAATGCAAGAAGGGAATGCTCCAGATAGTTGGCAGAAAACATTGGTGAATTTCCTGTTGCTGTAAATCAGGAGGATACAGTTTCCTGCTTCTGACCCATAGGAGAAGTAACTTTTCCAGCAATTAGAACTATCCAAAAATTAGTTGTGAAATGTTTGCAAGGATCTCATCTGCCCCCATCAATCCAATTTTGCTGCCGAGTTCAGTAAGGTTCACCAGGTTTACTCTGCTGATTAAAGGATGCAGTTTGGTGGCTCTGCAGTTTTAACGTGACTTCCTAAGTCAGTTATGAGACAGGAAGCCATCTTTCCACAAATGCATTTTAGTACTTCATGAAGGTTTGCCCAGATTGTTTAAAGGCTAAGGGTGCTAAGGATCGTTTAGAAGACAAAGCCATGAAACTGAAATTAGTTCTCTTCATTTGTAATGAAGATAGAGAAATAAATGTATAGACGGGCACATAAAACGTAAAACGTAAGCTAGAGACTTTTAACCTCTACTTTCTTTCCCACTGAAAGGAGTAAAAAATGGTGTCTACAACTACTTCAAAGCAGAACTTATAATTTTCAGAAGAATAACAGTTTGTTTCTTAAGGATAAATTGCTTTCTTACCTTCCTTTACATGGTCCATTGCAAACATTACAGTGTGCACATGGTTAGCTGTGCAGCTCATAGGCTTTGCAGGTAAAACAGTGTGTATAACATACATACACTGGACTCCGACACTCATTTAGTGAGAAGGCAGCCCAGTGTGCTTTATGGAGGAAAGATACACACAGTTCTCCCTGGGAAGCAGACAGAACTGCTACACACAGCTCTGTATGTAGACTTCAGTTTTTGGGTGCACATATACTATATTGTAGGTACATTTAGGATGTGTTAATTACAGAATCTTCCAATTTAGAACCCCAAAAACTATTAATGAAGATGAGTACTAAAATGAGTTTGCATCAATTAAAACTTTGAAAGGTTTCCATAAAATAAGAAAAAAAAATCCATTCACTAATCCTAAATCAGAGCATGCCCTTTTCTTAAAACACAGATGTGGCTATTCATCTCTTCTACTCTGTTTTAAAGAATGCCTTTGTCACCTTCTGCAGAAATATGCATCAATTATTAAACTGTGAAATTTAACATGTCAGTAGTAAAGACAATTGTCCTTTTTATGTTACTGTACTGTTTTTCCTGATGCTTCGCTAATTGGCCAAACCTATATTGAATGCTCTATGTGTCATATAAATCCGCATGTGGAAGTTTGATATATACCTTGCTGAAAGATAAAGTATGTGCTTAACCGATCTTTGACAGGTCTCTGGAATCTCTACTTGCTGCACATGCATCAGTAGACATCAAGCGTTTGCAGAATGGGTTCGGAAAAGTACAGATCAGGCCTTATGACTGTATGACTTCTCTTATGACTGTAATCGAGTTTGAACTCAACCATTTTAAAGTTTCAACGTTCTCAAAAGTTATGACATGTTCTTCCACCTCTTCTTCCTAGCCACGGCTGAAATGTCAAAATACAATAGAAAAGACTGTTTTGTGGTATTTCCAGCTGGGACGTGAAGTAGGCATGTAATAAATCTCACAAAGAAGGCCTGTTCTTGTGAGATTTCCACCACAGTTTTGCAGACTCAAGAGGTTTGAACAAGTTTTCTTTAAGCATCTGAACTTCTGGCTGCTTATCTGAACCATCATAGGTCTATGTTTATTGCTGAAATGTCACTTTTTTTTTTTATAAGAATTGTTTGGGGAAATTGCACACAGAAAACCCATATGCCTGGGGTTACCCATTTCCATTCCATGACAGAATGCTCCCCTTCAGTATCCTTCAACAGAAACATACTTCTATACAAAGAGAAAGGTCTGATCCCAGAAAACAGATAGTGAGAGGTAGAGTCAGAAAGCTAATGGCCAAAGCCCTGCTATGCAATACTATTGATTATTCCCATGTTCCGCTTTCATTTGAACCACTGCCATTAAATGCCTCTGAACATCCTTGTTAGGTACGTAGGAACCTTTGAAGATTCTGCACACTCCATTTGGAGTCTATTCCCCCCCCACCTCCCCACCCCCTCTCGAAATGACCTGTTCCTTTCACTCTCTTTGTGAATCAAACTCCAAACTGATTGCTGGCAGAAGTAATGGTGAATAATGCCAGTTATAGTAGCAAGCATTTGGTATTAATTAATTAGTTCACTTATAAAAGCTGAGAAGAAAAAAAAAATCCATTATTTTCTCTCTGACCCTAAAACATTTGCACTAAGAAGAAAACTCCAACTTTTTCCACATTACCTGCTTCACATCTATGTCTCATTCAATACATATAAGTAAGCATAATAGCATTTTACAGTTCTAACATCCAGCTACAAAAAGTACTTTTAATTCTGCAGTTTACAAAATACCAGTGTAGGATGATGAAGAAAAACTGATGCTATGGTCTTCACTGGAATATATCTGCTTTAACTGGTAGAACCCCACTAGCTGAGAGTAGCTGAAAATGGGGGTCTTTTTTTTTCCTCTTTCCTCAAGAAAGATCGTCTTTGAGGATAGAATGCATTTTTCTTTCTCCCTTGTAAATAGCACTTTAATAGCACTATAAAAAGAATGGCTCTAAAAGGTAAAAAAAATAAAAGGCACTGCCATATACACTACAGGAAAATCTTTGCCATTTGCAATAATATCTGTAATTCAACTGGTACCTTTCTGTCCTGAGTGAACAAAAACTGGGAAAAGAAAGTTTAAATGATAACCACAAAGACTTACTAGCATATAAAGTTTTTTTTTTCTTCATAAAATCTACTTGAGTTGCCTGGGGGATGAAGGTTTTACCAGCCTCTAACTGTAGCAAAGGTTGATCAGCCTTTTTAAAACTATATGACATACCAGGTACTTGTCTGATTTGTTAAGTTCCTCCCCCTTCTCTGCATATGAAACATAATGTAAATCTTTTCAGCGCCCAAACTAGCATGTAACCTTTGAGCCAGACAATCCCAGTTTTCAGAGATGCATTTAAAGCATTTAAATAATGAATCTGTGAAGTTAAGGAATCTTACGGTTTCTATGATAAATGAGATTATTTGCCTGCCAAAACAACCAGTTAAAGAAAAAGGAAATATTACCAGTATTTTACAGAGACTGGAAGCTCAACTTGTTTATAGATTAAACCTGATACACAAGAATCCACAAGAGGGACCAAAATACCAGGCTTGTCTTAGCCCATGCATATGAATATCACCATTGAACATACTCTCTGAGTCCAATCATGAAACAAGGTAAATCACAACTCTTTTTATTGCTTTCATGCTGGTAATCAGACTCATTGGAATCAAAAAATACTTTTATGTTTGTGAAATACAGAAAATCTGAATCTACCTTGACTGTGCTTGTGAAGTTGTTCCTCTCTTTTCACAGGTATAGGAAAATTGTTTTATGGTTTCAACTTAAAGCCAAACACCAGGCCTCAAACCTCCACCACTTAAAAAAACAGTAGGGAAACTTTTAAAATCTGAAGCTTGAGACTCAGGGTTAAGCAAGGCAGAATAATAAATCTCAGCACACTCAGTGTTTTGGGAAGTTCAGACACAGATCCAGTTCTAAATCCAGATGTTTGGCCATGCACCCAGAGTCTTGCCCAATGCCCGTGGGATCATTATTTTCTGTTTGCTCTTGCCTATTTTACAGATCAAATGTAAACATGGAAAATAAGATCACTCCTTTTATACCTGTATACGTATTTTTTAATTCTGATGCACCTAAGTTGTTTTAGAAGATTTGGCAGCACACGGAGATAATGGGAAGCCTTACCCTGTCACTCCATTCTGTAAGGAACCAGCTCTTAGCACAGGGTCCCATGTCACAGTTCTCGATATCATTCGGCCGCAGCTTCATGTTACATTCCTCATCATCAACAATGTCTCCAAGGTTGCTGACACATTTCACATCTCGGGTCCTCTGCCCCACTCCACAAGGTACTGAACACTGTAACAAATGGTAGGTTGTATCAGGACTCTGGGCTGTAATTCTCACGTTTCTTCATGGAGCTGAAAATATACAGCTCATTTATTCCTAATAACACATCCACAGAAGCTACAGAACTATTTTAGATTGTTAGGAATAGGGAATAAAATCATGTTAGTAGTTTCAAAACCATATTTTCAGTCTGTAACATTCTACAGTATACTACGTAGATACATTTGGAAAACAAAAAAGCAAATCCTATCTTCAATGAGCCATGCTGTACCTAATCAAATTGAACTGCTGGTATGTGAATAGCAGGCTTACATACTATGCATAATTCTGATCTTGATCTATATACAGATATGAAGCAAGGGCAATGCAAAGAAAAACAACTTTTGAATCCCTCTTCAAAGTTCAGGCCTTATTCCCCTGCTCTCTTTTCATCAATCTCAGAGAACACTGACAGGTATCAATGTCTCTGCCTGGCATGAAGCATCCAGATCATCAAGAAAAAAAAGGGAACATTATTTTATGTTCTGTGTATGCATGATATGTTTTGATGAGTCCTGTAAACACTCTAGAATTAATGTGGAAAAGTCTCTGGGAATCTGGAGATTAAAGACCTGAGTACCTATGCACAAGGATAGTTAGTTGAGATTGCAAAGGCAACCTCATTGTTTTTCCCTTACTTTCAAATGCTTAACCATGTCTACCATATTTACATGTCCAAGTTATTACATAAAATATATTCCCTACAGCAAAATACCTTAAAGATCTTACCTTCAGCATGCAGTTACCTCTTCAACTGTTCACTCTAGAACATTTGCCTTTAAAACCCAGACCAGATGCATGAAGCAAGTCATTACACAGCAAAACACTAATAAAAACAACTACCCTGCTCTTTGTCAAAAAGCGGTGATTTGACCAGGGTTACCCTCAAACTTAAAAAAGCCTTCAAACTTAAAATTATTACAATACTATTTCTTCATTTTGATCAAAGTTTTTTTTACATTTGCATGTCAGGAAAAATGGTCAGCACTAAAGTCTTAAGATGGGTTTACTTCTAAGATCACAGACCTGCCTCTAGAGCAAAAACCTTATTGTACTTCAACAAGAACAAACAAAAATAAATGTTCTGCTGAAAACACAGTTTCCAAATGCAATTGCTTCTTTCCTTATAAGTGAGTCTTCCATACACCAAAAACTTTAATTATACTTCCAAGAGGAAATTAATCACAGAATTTTACTGGGATTACTCCTATATTCAACCAGCTACAATTTCTAAAATATTTGTTTATGTTGATTCACTATAAGCAGTAAAGCTCTAAAGGCTGTCTGCACACTAAATAAAATACTTCTCAAAATGTAATAACACATAAACCATCTAATCTTTTCTTAGGTGCAACACAAAGGTAAAGTTTTGATTATTTTATTAAGGGCAAATTTACTGTTCTTTAGCCGCAGATAAATTTTAAAATATGGTGAATACATTTCCTTACATTTGACTGGCTAGGTATTTATATGTTTTTTATCTCAACACATCACCAATACTTCATGACTAAGGGGTTAATAATGCCCCCATTAAACTCAAAAATGCGGAAATTTAAGGAATTAACCCATGCAGATCAAAGCCACATAAAGTCTGTGGCATGACTCCTTATCCTACCATGACAACTGTGTGGACAGAAAGCTGTGCTTCTACTGGCAATGCAGCTAGCTACACTGGGGAATTAGGAGCAATGAAGCTCTTCAATAGAAAGGAAAAAGAAGGTTTAGGTTCAGTGTTAAGCTGCAATTTTTCAAGGACTATCCACCCACATAATTCAGCACTTCTGTGAATTTTTTTTTGCTTTGCTTTGCTGCTAACTGAAAAGAGACTTGTTTATCACTACACTTAACACACCAGAATATTTCTTCTCTCTACACAATGGCTGTGAAAGTACCTAGGATGGTTGTCAGGTTGGCCAGAACTTTTGTAAACAACACAAAACCATACCATTCACTTTTATCTGAAAGCCTTGGCATAGTCTCAAACCAACTATAGCTACAGCAAATACTGGCTGTCTCTAAACTTAACACATATATAAGGTTAAATCAGTCCTGTAACTAAACACTACATGCTAAGAAAAACAACAAGAAGTTTGCTACAATAGGCAAACCTATTAGCTCTCTCCCAACTCTATTTCATATAGTACTTATAAATCATTGTTCAGAAAGCTTGTGTGCTTCTGTACATACCTATCTATGTGTTTTGTTCTATGCAATCGCTCTTTTTCACTTTCTGAAAACTAACAGTCATAACCATGCAGGGTATTTCTGAACTAAGATTCACTTACTTCCAAGGCTTTCCAGATTCCACTTCCACCAAATTTCATGTTTGATTAGTGATACCTATAAGAAAATTCTTGTTCTCTTAAGAGGTTTATGCCCCAAATTAATCAATCATACTTACTGAAGTCCATTCTGTCCTAATCTGCCATTCACTGCAGATCTTCAGCTGGCAAGTGCTGGTTGTCTCTGGTTTCTCCAGGTGATGACAGCGGTATTGCTGAACTGTCAAGGTGCGATTGGCATATATTTGTCTGCATAATATCTGTCGATGCTGCATACCAAGGCCACATGTTTTGCTGCACTCAGACCACTCCCCTATATCCCAGCTACAGAAAAGGGGGGAAAAAAAGAAGTTAAAAAAAAAAGAGGGCATCTCTTTCAGTGAAGATTCATCTAATACTGCCTCAACAGAACTCTAAGGACAGGATTTTGATGCTGGTAAAGAATCTTAAAATAATACTTAAGCTTCTGCACGCAGAACTGAATCCTTTATGAAGAGAATATTATATACTTATAAATGATCTACCTGATGCTAATAAGTATGCATTTATGCATTTGTATTTTAATAAATAATCTTTTAAATAAATATTTACACATCTCTGTTTACATTCTTGATAGTGTCCTCTGTAAAATCAAAATAATTTAAAAAATGAATTAATATGAATTGTTAGAAAGAAAAAAGGTGAGAAAAACACTTGGTGATAGAAAGTATCTCCAAGTAAAATACTCCAGAACAGTCGCATATGAGCCTGTGATACCAGCAGAACTAGAAACAAGGTATACCAGTTTGGGATCCAACTTCTGAGCTGAAGAACTACTTAATTCCAGGAAAGAGAAGTCATGTTTATGAAGGGGCTGTTGAGAGTGCTATCAGGCAAATCTCATCTTTAAGTATGACACCATGCAATGAACAGCTGGGTACTGCAGCACGGTGATCCAGTGTGAGGTGATATAACCTACAGAGCCCTTCTTTAGACAAGCTTTTGCAGACTATCACTTGAAAAAGAGTTCCCATAGAGAGACCACAGGTATAGTGTGTGCGCCTGAACAATCACACGAACTTTGAGAAATTACTAGACTCACTTGCTGCTCACTTCATGACAGAAACACAAGTTTTCAACACAAGTTCAAACTAGTTTCATATGTAGGATATGAAATATGAAAAAGTATGTGCAAAACTTCAGTGACATTGGCTTATTTCAGTTGACTTAAACACTAATATCTTACAAAGCTGGACATGGGAAGAGGTTGCAGGCCTCCTCTTCTGGAATAGGTTTGGTGCTGCTGTCACAGTAACTCTCAGGAACCTCCTCATGAGTGATTCTGTTTACACAGTGGAAAATTGGGTACTGGGACCCTGAAATTAAAAAGAAAATTAGGTGATGCCTTGCAAAAGACACTGCAATATAAGCTGTTCATATCAATAGCATTGAAAGGCATAGGATAACAACAGGAAATCTAAAATTTTATCCAAAATTTCCAAACATAAGTGAAAACTATACTGTTTACATTGTAATATTAAGAAACGTACTTAGTAAATAGAGAGTACAGCATGGCATTGTATTAAAGGCTGAGAAAACATGCTGCTTGGTCTGCATGAATTCATCATAGTGCAGAGATTACAAACATCATGTTTGTGGAAAAATGCAGCCAAACAGCCAGGCCAGAACATATGCTTTAGAAGAGTAAAGATTTAGCAGTCATCCTTTTCTGCTTCTGGAAAGAGACTGAACCTCCACCCTTTAAAGTTATCTTGGAAATGAACACATCCAAATACTACTCACTTCACCTTAGTTTTGAGATGATTTGTAAGATAAATCTTACAGATGAAATATTACTGTTGACTGCAGACTTGTTAAATATGACAACTCTCCATACTTACTGCAGTGTACCAGCCCCTTCTCTCTCTGGACAAGAGAGAGAGGGATGATGTGCTAAAGATACCTCACTTCCCTGACAGGATTCAGTAGAAGTTTCCATACCATTCTAGCACACCTATTTTCTCAGTCATCTTAAATGGAAATCTGGGACAAGAGTTGGTAGAAGTTCTCATGTGAAGCATTTTCACTTTTTAAAAATAGTAATAGCCTTCTCTTTTTTCTCCAAGTTTTAATAAAAAGTGCTTTGAAATCTCTCAGCTTTTCATCAAAACTGTTAATTTATCATCTCTTTTTCCTTATTTAACATAAAAATCCATTTTATTTCCCTGTTTCTATTCCCAACTTAAAAATTCCTAACGATACTTGACTCTGAAAGGTTTGTTTTGAGAGAAAAAAAAAAAGAAGAAAGACTGGGTATCATCTACATTTTTGTATTAAGAAATAATAAACTAGTAGAAAAAAAGAAAACATGGAAAAAGGAATTAAAAAAAAACCAAACAAACCAGAGACTGCTCACACGAAATGAAAACAAAGCCTTAAACAGTACAAGATTTCTTTCTGATGATTTTCAATCAATTTTTTATCAGCCCATATAACCTGGTCTGACTTTTCCTTCAGAGACACATACTTTCTGCTACCAGAAAAAAGTCTCTAGTATATTTATAAACATTTATGCAATCGAGAAGCAATTTTGAGTGTCAATATTGATGTGTTGTTATTTATTTTTTTTAGCTCTACCTGTATCTGTAACATGGACACTCATCTGGCCTTGAACCAAATTCACAAAGCATTCTATTACTACAGAAAGAAACTAATTAGGAAGTGAATGTTCTCAATATAGATGAACTGGTGAGAGTTGTCCTAGCTGAGTTCACTCAATGGTAGGTCTTTTATTTCAAAGCTCTGTGATTTTTCAGAAGTGTTGATGGCTGGCCATGTACAGTAAAAACAAATTTAATTTTTAAGATACAAAAGTCTACTTTTCCCAAAAACTGATTATGTCATGCATTACTGAATCTGTGGTCACTGTGAACATCTTATGGCAAAGATTAACCTGGGAAGCCCAAGACAGGGAATCTATCACCTCCCAAAGGCTCACTGATTACCAGCACCTTTCATTCTCCTCTTCCTTCTCACTTCTACCCAATGAAAATCCTAGTTTTCTAAAGGCACATTATTGCTGTTCCAGCAACACTCAAGGAGGTGAAGATATATCTGATGGAATCTCTGTGAAATCTTCCCATACAGATCAGAAAGCTGTTGACAAACGCACAGAAAACATGGAGGTTGTATCAGACAAAGCTGGAGAGGATGGAAGGATAAAGAATGCCAAAGAATGTTGAGGAAAGCAGCTGTGTGACAAGGGTGTGAGAGACAGCAGCTTGCCATAAAATCCTGAAATACTTCCCTTCAGAAGCAAATGCTGTATGTTCTCTTTTATTTTTTATATTTTAAATTTTGTTATTTCTGGTGTTTTAAATAGATGCACACTTCATAGCATAGGTATGCTTTTTGCTCAGAAGTTAACAGAAATAAACAGGTCTAGCAATGGTTTGTACAGCAGTGCTGCTGAATATTCAACACTGCTTCTTCCCTCCATGTTTCTTCTCTCCCACACTGGAACCCCCCTGTGGGTCATCTATTTTCTGTGCATGCTGTATGAAGCACTTACCTTTCCCACATGTAGTGGTACACTCAGTTTTTCCAATCTGTTTCCAGTTGTGCTCTCGGTTTTGTCTTGGTGGCTGCACAGCAGGCACCTGGTTTTCTGGCTGATGAGAAGGAAATCTTCCTGGCTGAATAACTGGAAAAGTTCCAGCTGCCTGTCCAGTAAGAGTGTCCATCTCCCTATGCAAATCCTCCTCATCATGATTTGTACTTTCTGGCATTTCTAACTGACCATTCAAGGGCTCTCCTATGATGGGGAAAAAAAAAAAAAGGTAGCATAATTAGCCTCATGTGCTATTATCAGTCTGTTCTCATTCACTAATACTCAGAACACTGCAGCATCATTAAACTGGAAAGCAGCTTTAATCTGCTATGCAAAGACTTCCTAACAGTGCTCTGTGAAGACTGTGTTGTTTTAAATTAAGACAACCAAGTCTCAGCCAGCATTACAGAGAACATTAATACAATAAGAATTTAAGATCTTAATACGTTAAGAACTGAAGATTCTCCAGTCACACTGTAGAATTAATGTGCACTGTCAAAATTTCCTAGAGCATTTTGTGTACCATGCTCTGTATTTTCTGCCTCCCCATATCACAGTACAGTTGCTCCTTGTTACAAACAGACTGCACAAGCACTTAGAAAGTTGTCAAAGCAAGTCATGAACAGTAAAAGTAGGACCAAAATCACTTGTACAATTTCTACTGTCCTTCAGAATTGCATATTGGTACGTACAACACATTGCCATAGCACAGAATCAGGAGCATGATCTGTCCAGATTATAGCCTGGGGAGGTACCAGTTTTGTATTTGGTCCTCTCCAAGTAGGAGAGGAAAGAGAAACTGAGAAGGGTTGTTTGAAATTAGCTTAAGCTCTGAAAAGTCATGCACGATTTCATTTCTGAGACATGATTGCAACACTCCAGCTCAAGTAAAGCCATGGTTAAAATTTTAACAACAAAACTATTACTGAAAATATAAATACGTTACCAGATTCCCCACTACACAGGACAATATAAATTCACATCAGTTCAGAGATCTATGCAGACATCTCTTCCAATGAGTAGGAAGAATTCCGGGCCTCTCCCATGTCAATGGCAGCATTTACACTGAACTTAACAGTATGAATTTCTCCATTAACTTACTGGGTAACAGAATGTATTTAGTATTAGAAAATAGTGGTATTTTACCTGGCCTCCTGTGAGCAAGCAACTGAGGACTAATGACATTGTCTCCTGGAATGATATACTCATAATGTATACCTGGGTTAGGCTGCTGATGTATCATCTAAAAAGAAAAACAGCCATACAGTCACTTCTTCCACTTGCTATATTACTAATACTAAATATGTACTTGAACTGATCAACAGCATAACATTATTTATCATTGGTCATGATAGAAATAAAGGTTGATGATAGTGTTTAAAAATGAAAAAACAAACAATTTGTTTCCTGAAAAAGTAAGACAATACACGTTACTATGTTTGCAAACTGAACTAGCTTATGATGGCAGAGACACTGTTTCTCTAAATATTCCTTAACAACTGTAAAGCTGACAGGCTCTGAGCAAGCAGGGCAGGGCCTGGCCTCTCACCAGCCTGGACAGCAGGAGGAGATGGTCCTGAGGACACCAAAATATTCTCTGACTGGAAGAGCTTGACAGATGCCTTAGGAAACATGAGCAAGGAAGAAACATGGCACAGAAAAATAAATACCGCAGACCCTGATCTGCAAATCAAGCTGCCTTTTTTAAGATTTATCAGTTGTACATGAACAGAACACCTGCAAATCCAACTGCTCCTTTCATCACTGTGCAGGTACCTCTGCACCACTTGGCGGAGGCTCAACAACCAACCTGCAAGTCACTATTATGCTATTCTCACCATAAGCATTGCTCAACAAAGATGAAGTGAACTGGTTACAAAGGCTTGTTACAGCAACTGAAGAGTGCCTGTGCAACCCTCCTGCATCCTTCCATGGTAGGTTTCAGCCAAATAAAAATGTAATGTACTTGCAGACAGACTCCACGTCTTTACATATAGCCACAGCAATTCTTTGAAGTGTTCTTTATGAACATAGGTGGGAACGTCAAACTTTTCTGGTTTAAGTATGAAAACAAAGCCGAGTGGTTTCAGAAGACTGCATGCTGCACAACCCCATAGGAGTTGACATGAGCATGCCTCCAAGTTGGTTCCTGTATTTTCACCTAAGCAGACAGGTATCATAAACCCTAAGCAAGATATAATCTTATGAATGCTTTTAAAACTGTTAGCAGCATACTCTGTTCTCAGCAGTTTTTTGTGCTGCTGAGAGTCTGGGAACACTCACATTAGAAATTTAAGGACGCCATCAGCTGCTAACTTCACTAATTTATCTCTGATTACTTCAGAACTGCTTCTACTGCTCTCTGATTACTTCAGAACTGCTTCTACTCTTAAATTCTTTGTGGGGATTGGTCAGGCAGATGCCTTGAAGTAATCTAACTTGAAATAAGTTTAAAACAAAAAAAAACAAAGAACAGCAAAACGAAATGTAATAATAATAATAATAATAATAATAATAATAATAATAATAATAATAATAATAATTATTATTATTATTATTATTATTAAAACAAACAAACAACAAAACAGAACAAAACAAACAAACAAAAAAAAGAAACAAACCCATGAAACACTAGAGCTTGCAGTAGTTCTCTGGTCCTGATAAACCATAGGCCAAAAAGAAAAGGGTTGTGCTATGTACCTAGATATCTCTTTTCCTCCACATTTTGAAAGTGGAAAAAAAGTACACTATGTTCTTAGGAAGAAGGAACAGAAAGCCATTTGGAGCTCCCATCTGCAAATCTCTTCATTTTTCTACACAAAGAGTAAAGATTGAGACTACAGATGAAAATAGAATTGCATGATTCAGGAACCACAGGACAAAGACTGAAAAAAAGACATCCGTATCCATATGTGGCTGCAAATTTCAAACACATAAAAGAATTTGTGTCATGCTGATGCTCGATTTTCTTTCAGCTAGCACTCTCCATATTTATCTTCCCAATTGTACTAAAAAATACAAAGACACTATTCTGTCAGCTAATAATGAATTCTAATATTCTTCATATCTACAAGAAACATCTCAGATAAGAGTCCAGTCAAATTAGATGTGACAATCCACGGTAGCAGCCCCAGAGCAAAGCTAATAAAGCTGTGTCCATCATGCTAGCAAAAGGGGGAGAAAAAAAGAGACTAACCATAAACTAAAACATTAGGTTATGATATAATTAAGCTTAAGTCTTTTTATGATGTTTCTTTGAAAATATCTGTTTAATCCATTTCTTGATTCTTTTCTCTCTGGGTCATTGTGTACTAGGCATCTATCAGATGGCAATAAAAACTTAAAGAAAACCCCAGTTGACAGCATCATGTAAACACACAGTGGCACATATATATTTTATAAACGCAGAGTCTGCACTGCAGAGTCTAGGTACCCGGTCACTTCCAGGTTTTAGCCAGTCTTACATTGCCACTAATCAGAAAGTATCCAAAAAGAAGTAATGCTTGCATAATTATTATTTGTTTTAATAAGACATCACATAGCAGATGGAGAATGACTTTGCCAACATCTAACTTTTTCCAGCTGAGGAATCAGAGTAGTTAGTATTTTTCTATGAAACAACCCAGCACGTGCACTTTTCCATCACTTACTGCACTTAATGGCAAAAAAGCCATAGCTGGATGAAACAACCAGTATCACCATTCCATCTATTTTTTTCAACTATTGCACATTTCTGTATGAAAAGTATAACCTCAAAACACATCATTTGTCTTAGAATAAGTTATAATCAGGTCCAATTACATTTTTATTTCAATATGATGCAATAAAAACCTGTCCCAACTGAAGTAAATAGATTTTGCACTACAATTCCCCAATCCTGGCTACAATTCGACTTCTCACTTACCTTATCTAACAGCTATTATATTTATAATCTTCATGTTACCGCTTCCTATTAAAGCTGTCCCACTTCAAATTACACGTTCTTTAGTTTTCTGGACCTACAGACCTACATTTCTTTTAAAGAAAACTGAGATGGTATCACTCTGTGAGAGGCCTCATCTGATTTAGGTATTTGATTCTGTTCACTGCAAAATTGAACTATTCCAAATTTGCTTGAGTGCCAAAGTAACCAGAAAAAAAATAGTCCCCCCAAAATACCCACATCTGTATGCTTTACTTTCATTTTACTGAACAATTAAAATTGGTTTTACTAAATCAGTAAAGTCAGAGAGAAAGGCATCACTGATACTTAGATTTCCTAGGGTCTGGAGCAAACTAGGTTTAACTGGACACAATAGCAAAATATCCAAAATACTGTTTCAAGATTAAAGGAACAATACAGTAACAAAGTATGGGCAATGAATGCAATTACAGTGTTGCATGTTAACAGCAAAAACAAATTTTCCATTAAGAAGATTAACCTAGCTACAGGAAACTTACATAGACATCAAGGACTTCATTTGTTGGACCATCAGCTAAAAATGACTCCCCTGCAGTACTGGAGATTTCATTTGGGCGTTTATAAGTGAACATTGTTCCACCACCTTCATATCTTCCAGGTCGATCAATCGCCCAGTTTCCATTGATGATGGACCGTCCTGATCGACTCCGCAATGCTGTAGAGGATAGGGACAGAAACACAAGGACTTTGATCAGAGGAAATCACCTTCATGTACTGGTGTCATGTGGCTGCTAAAAACAGAGTTAAATTCATAGTTATGAAAAAAAATCAAGTTTAGAAAGCTTTTCCTGAATACTCATAGTTTTATGCTGCAAGAAAAGAAAGACAATTTAGAGATAGCCTGGTAATCTTTTTCAGCAGTTCCTCCAAGGATGCCATGTGACCAAGCCAGCAGCATACACCAAGCACATGCAAATGCCAAGGAAGTGGTTTTCCTCGCCTGCCTTCCCACTGAACTGACTATTTTACGAATTAGATACAGTAAAACGCAGATACAGAAAACCATGACAATAGACAATGCAGAAGCACCAGACAGTCAGTTTATGGACACATGAATGTCCTGGTTTGCCAAATATTCCAATTAGTCTTCATGAAGCTGTTTGGCTACTCTCTCCATTTCCTTTTCAAAACACTTTCTTTGCCAGAGCACCTGCAAAGCCCTTAGCTGCAGCACGGTGTGGAATGACAAGCCATCTGAAAATGCCACGAGGATCTCTTGCGTAAGGAAAAGTGGCTTGTAAATCAGATACTAGGTGGGAAGCATAAAATCTGGATTCAATCACAGAATCATAGAACGGTTTGTCTTGGAAGGGACCTTTGAATATCATCTAGTCCACCCCCCAATTTCATTATTCTCTAGCACTCCTCTGTTGAAAGAAAACCTTTTGTATGAAGAGGAAAATTCCATAGTTACAAAGATGCAAACAAATATAAGCATACTGATTAAAAATCAATTATTAATACACAGCCTGCACCCCAAATAAGGGAAAGTAATTTTAAAAAAGGTTTGTAAATTCAAAGGAAATACTCCTCACACAATGCATCAAGGTGTTGAGGTAAACACTTCAGTAAAATTCAAGAAAGGCCTGGTAGATTTTTAAAAGATCTGTACAAGTAAATAACTGCAAAGGAACACCCTGATATTTAAGGTTTGAACCTTATAATATCCTGTATATATTAAGTTAAGGGCTCTAACTTGAGCAAATTATTTTCTATTTACCAATTGCATATTCTGAACAGTATCTCATGAAATTTCACCAAATATCTGTTGGTCTCCACCAAATACATGGAACTCAGCAAACTGTAGCTTAATCCACAGAACCATGCCTGTAACCCTACTAGAGGTACCTGCTGATATGCAGGCCTAAAGAAAATTTGGCACAGAAGGAATCAGAACAGAACATACCAGAGAGGACAGTGTCCTCTCTTGTTCAGTTGCACAGCTCAAAGTCTTTTTCCCCCCTGGGAATATTTGGTGCTGACTAAATTTGCATCACCTTGATGAAATTGTCTACAGAAGCAGACTGTATAGTGTTTTTGAAAAAATTTGTAAATAGTGCTTAGGTACAATCGCATATCTGTGCCTCTTGTAAGTCCTTCCTGCTATTTGATTATGAAAAAGCAATGGTTGGAAATGGAAGACTTTATCAGTCTTCAAGCATCAGTCAGTTGCAATCTTAAGTCATGCTTGTTATTTAAGTCAGATTGCTTTAGTTTGTCTTATATGCAGAAAATGAGATATAATCTAACTACTAATTGCAATTACATGGGCGCTATCAATCCTCCCTGCACTAAACTGACATAGCCATGCCTCTAGAGATGCTAACAACCCAGCAACCTAGTTTTCAAAGTGGGGTAACAAATTATATGAGAACATGTGTGCAATCTGCAAACTTTAAATATAAATAAATTTAATTGTTAGGAGTATCCCAGTTTGTACAAGAAAAAGCGTAAGATGAAATATTCTTTTTCTTAAAAGAGAAACATGGTAGTAACTGAACAGAATAGATTTTGAAGTAGATAAATTAATTTAAGACTTTATATTACTGCGGTGCCTTCTCTCTATGCTGTAAAGAATGTATCTGGTTTCATGGTTCTGGGTAAAATGTACGATGTAGAAAGGTTAAAGATTAAAGCAGTTGGCTACAGCCACTTCTGAATCTGTAAGAAGCCCTTCATGCGGTCAGTCAAAATTGCCATCTTTACTTTCAGGAAATGAATGGGACTGTCCCTGGATCACTAGTCCCTATAAAGAGTCCTAATTGCTGAAGTTTCAGACTTTTATTTCGTCCTCTGCAAAATAAATCAGTGGATTTTAGCAGTTGCACAGAGTTGCACCCACACAAGCTCAGAAGGCATGTGTCATGGTGGAGAACTTTCTGCTTTTTTGGACTCTTTTTGGACTGTTTTGAAGGAAAGCAAAGTAGATCTGTATCATTCCCAAAATGGCACTAAAACAAGTGGCATAACCAAGAATTTGGTACTTGTGACTCACAATAAAAACACTGGTCATAATTTATTCAGTTCAAAAATTTAAATGGCATTAATGACTAAGGATCAGATTCTGTAAAAATGTATTCACATATTTTGATTTTATTTATTTTTTCTAATACTACATGTTTATTTTCCCAACAGCTAACACTTGCTTCCCAGGTCTCATTTTCTTAACATTAATGAATTACCTCTGTCCTGTGGATATTACATGAATTACATTTTTTTTTTTCCCATCAGCCATGAAAATGGCATAATCATCATTCATATAGTGCTTGGAAGAAAAATTATGGTTCACCTATTATTGAGTAGAGGTTAAATATGAGATCCATCCACACTTCACACACTATTTATGCTTGCTACATTTTAATTTAAACACTTGCAAATAAATCTGTTATGCAAAATGTACTGGATACTAGTTATATATATATATATAAATTTTAATATGGAACACTTGCATTAAAAGCTGTATTTTATGATCTGCATATTATTTCTAACTGCTGCTAAAGAAATAAAACAAATGAGTTATCAAGAGATCAGAAATAAGAAAGAATGCTGGCTAAGATTAAATTGTTGTTAATAATGAAGCTGTAGAAAGATGGCTGTCTGGGAAACTGTAAGCCCACAAAACTTTCATTTCAAATCCATCATATGACAGGTCTGAAGGAGGCCTCCCCATATAAAGAGAAAATGTACCTCTTTTATGTTGTGATCACCCTGCAGCTACCACCTCAACTCTGCCCCCTGAAGAATTTTTATGGTGTTAATATTTTTAGCTGAAGCATGAAAGAGTATGAAAAGCTTTACCCTTGATTCCTCATGAGGAATTTTTCATTCCTTATACAGCCTGTAGCTGATTTCATCTGCTTTTTGTCTTGGACTCAGCTTCTTAACTGAAACTGTGTTGTTTGCAACGACCTTCAGTGCTGCTCTGCACTAGAGAGGTGGAGTGTTTCAAGCTACAAACTCTAAGCAACACTTCTGCTTTGGGCTACTGTTCTATGGCAAAATCTCAGTAGGCTGTAAGTTAAGCCTTGCATTTCAAGTATCCGAAGAATACTGATTTCCTACATTTCAGCTTCCTGCTCTCCTTGCAAAGATGGTCTGCAGCTCCTGTCTTCCTGATTATTGATTCTATGCAGCTTCCCCTGCAACTGGAAAAAACTTAGCAAGAGAAAAAATAAATCAAAGGTAGGTGATGTGCTCAGGTGCTAAGGAGTGCGGCTCTGTAAACAATGACCTCACATCCACTCTGAAGGTCAGTATTTCTGGTTAGAAGTTGATGTTTGATGGTTTCTAACTGTAGCTTTTGTAATCCTGATTTAAACTACACCATTGAGATCAGAAAAAAAAAATAATAATTCAAATTTTCTAGTACTTCAAAGATAGTTCTATTACTGTAGTTCATTTTCCTGACATTTTTCAGTCTTGCCAACTTTCTCAATTCTAGCTCATGACATGCTGAGCCTTCTTGAAACTCTGGCTTCTGAATGCTGGTACCTACTTCATGCTCTTGGATACACTTAAAAACAAAACAAAAACAAACAAAAAAGGTTTGAACTAGAAAAGTATATGAAGATGTGAAATGAGCGTATGTAAAAATGAAGTAAAAAGAGCCCATTATTGTTGTGAAAAATATCATCCAGACAGCAACAAAACTTTCTATAAAAGTTTTAACTTTTTAAGTTACAAAGCTTATACAGAAAAAAAGGCAGTGTTCCTTACCATTGACATACCCATTTGTTCTGGGATAAATCAGTTACTATCTATTACCTATTCCCAAAGGAATAACACAGCAAAAGTCCCATTTGTGCTTCAGAAAAATGGAAATATCCTGATTCACGTAACAATTTGATATATTTCATAAACTTACTGCTGAATGACTCCTCTTTCTCTAACTACTTCATACTGGAAAAGCTGGAGAGAAAAATGCTATGTGTGGGTCTAGTACCTAGTTAACTGCAGTAGATTTTCACCCAAAATCACAGTGTACAGGCAAAATACCAATTAAAAAAAAAAAAAAAGAAAAAAAAAGAAGATAATTTAAAAGTAACTTCCCATCTCAAAAGAAACCTCTAAACTTGGCAGCAGTACTAATATTCAGAATAACATAGCATATTTATTTTCTGTCCTAAGGTCTTTATGTCTGGGAGAACAGTGTCCTAAATCCTACTTAATTGCTTTCCAAACCACATAGAGACTTCAGACAGACAGGACCAAAGTTATTTCCTGTATATTAAAACAATAATAAAGTGTCCCGACTCAAACGGAGAGAAGCAGAAAAACAATAAAGCAAAAACGTGGCTACCCACCAGCAAAGGGAGCAGCACTCCAGCATGACGAGGGACGTGCAAGCTCTGACGTGAGCACGCACGATGCCCCCGTGGAAGAGCAGTTCTCTTCTGGGAGCTGACTGCATGCTGGCACGTGAGGTCAGTGGGAAACAAAGTGAAGACTTGTGCTGCTGAAGTAAATTGCAAATGTCCCACTGGTAATTCACTCCAGGGGACCTTGACAAGCTGCAGACACACTCAAGATTCAAGTCAAGGAGCGATAAAACATGGTAAAAAGTAAGGTGATAAACTTCTGTAATAGAGGCAGCTAGAAGAGGTGAGTGGGTCGGATGTATGGCACTCTCCAGCCTCATTTGTTTTGCAGCTGCCA